GTAGTTGGCCTAATAAAAGAGATCACATTTACCCAAAGAACCTTGCCTCCCTGAAGGTGATTGCACTTCACAGCAGCCAAGTTATTTATTTTCACTTTGGAGTGAAATACTGGGGACTATTGTCTCTCCCTCCTGTCTGGCAGACTCATTTCGACCCCCAAAGCACAAGCCATCTGTTAAGAGGAGCCAGGTAGAGCTGAAGAAGTCACGCCTTCGTCTGTCACTGCAAGAAAAACTCTTTGCCTACTACCGGAGGAGGGTGGCAATCCCAGTAGAAGAACAGGCCCGGGCCAAACAGGCTGCTGTGGATATCTGTGCTGAGCTGCGTAGCTTCCTCCGTGCCAAGCTGCCTGACATGCCTCTGCGTGACATGTACCTCAGTGGCAGCCTGTACGATGATCTGCAGGTAATTCATGAGGGCATGTGTTGGTATTATTTGGTAGATTGATTGAGCAGAGGACTGTGCTGTGTCAGCACAACATTCCTGGTTCAAGAGCCTTCAAGTGTCACAGGTACTTCTAGCAAGCTGAGAATATATTTGTGCCGTATCTTTGCAAAACAGATGTTATCCCAGTCCCTGCTCCTTCCATAGTTGCTTGCTCTTGCTCTGCCTCCACTACACCTCATTTTTTTTCCTTTACTCACAATACTTACCTTCCACATATCCCTTCAAATGAGTTACTTCCCTTGGGACCCTTGTATATTCCAGTAGCTCTTCCCAATTGTTTTTTGATCATACAACAGATCTGGATTGGAGACCAATCCCTGCAATTTATGTCCTTGATGTAGAGATGGCCACGGGCTAAGGTGAGCGATTTAAAATGTTAGTCCTATCTTGTGTATTAGCACTGAATCAGTACTCTGGGATAGCTTGCTGTGCATCAACTGAAACTTAGATTTGAGGAAGTGATTATGTAAGACATTAAAGATCCCCGGCTGCCTCTCTGTAACAGCTGTTGGGGTCAGTGCCTGATTCTCATGTTGGATACTTGAGATATGGCAAGTTGAGCTCTGCCTGCAGTTCTGTTTTTCTTTGCTTCAAATCCTGAACTACTGTGAAGTGTCGCTGAGGTATACCCAGTTCAGTAGTTGATGATATGATCTCTGGATGTAATTTGTGATTTGGTTTAAGTTTGTTAGGAATTTTAAGATCTTAGAAGCAAATGTTATGCTCTGCAGTTCTTTCATTGATGAGGGGGAATGAGCTGTAAGCATCTTGCCTGATTAAAGGAATGCAGTAGGTCTCACAGGAAGTGGAAGTTGCTTCCTGAATCACTGTTTCCAATCCCTCTGGATAGAAGGGATTGGAAGTGGATGGATACTTGGAGCCTGCTGGGAGAGAGCCAACTTCTGCCTTTTCTCTCCCTCCTGACAGGTAGTGACTGCTGATCACATCCAGCTCATTGTGCCCCTGGTGTTGGAGCAGAACCTGTGGTCATGCATTCCAGGTGAGGACACCATCATGAACATACCTGGTTTCTGCCTTGTCCGTCGGGAAAACCCAGAGTATTTCCCCCGGGGGAGCAGCTACTGGGACCGATGTGTGATAGGGGGCTACCTCTCCCCCAAGGCTGTGGCAGACACCTTTGAGAAAGTAGTAGCAGGCTCCATCAACTGGCCAGCTATTGGGGCACTTCTGGATTATGTGATCCGTCCAGCAGCACCTCCAGAGGCTCTCACCCTGGAGGTCCAATATGAGCCGGAACAGCAACTTCTTATTGATTTCCTACCATCTGTGACATTGGTTGACACTGTCTTGGTGGCCAAACCCCACCGATTGGCCCAGTATGACAATCTATGGCGACTGAGCCTGCGGCCAGCAGAGACTGCACGCCTGCGGGCCTTGGACCAATGCGATTCTGGCTGCCGTTGCATGTGCCTCAAGATCCTCAAAGCTGTGTGCAAGTCAAACCCAGCTCTGGGTCACCTTACTGCCAGCCAGCTCACCAATGTCATCCTGCATCTGGCCCAAGAGGAGCCTGATTGGTCCCAAAATGTGCTAGCTGACCGCTTCCTGCAGGCACTGAAGGGTCTGATTGGCTATTTGGAAGCAGGTGTCTTACCCAGTGCTCTGAATTCCAAGGTGAACTTGTTTTCAGAGCTCACCCCTGAAGAAGTGGATGAATTGGGCTACACCCTCTATAGCTCCCTTTCAGAACCAGAAATCTTACTGCAGACATAATGGGACCTTACAGAGGAGAATGGCAGTGTTTATCTAAGATGGACTTTGAATCCTACTAAATATGTCCCCTTCACCACTCTCCCTCTTTCTCCCTATCCCTCCATCTCTCTTTTTAAGGTCATCATCATTTCCTACTGTTGAGTTTGGTGCTCCCACTGGATTTCTTGGTGCTACTGGTTTAGTTCCACCATTCTCTGTCCCAGCTGTTACTTTCTGACTGGGGAAAAGGGGGTGGAACTGCAGCTCAGAGACTGTTGCTTAAAAACCTGCAGGTATTGAAATTGCATATTGGAATCCTATGCTCTCTTCTCCCTGTACTGTCTGCCATGCTGCAGTGAACCCCTTTGCTCTTGCTTTAGAATTGGCAGAATTGGAGCAGTGAATCCAGTGGCAGTTCTAGCAAACTGACTTTTGATGTTCTGTATTTCTCCATTTTTCCTGCTGATTTGCCTTGCATTGTTTAATTATCTTTTCCCTTGCACATGATATCACCTGCCTCTTCTTCCTCTGTCTCTCTCTGGCCTAGAATTGCATGGAGCAGCCTGAATGGGATGTTTTTAATATGACTATTTATGGCCGTGACGGCATTTTGGAATGTACATTGTCTGACGATTGTAAAGACAGTATTGCGGGGGAAGGGAGGTGTGGGAATTACAAGAGAAAAATGTGCATGACAGGTTCCTGCCTCTGTAGACCAATAGCAGTGTCATGATCTGGGAACAGGGGTGTGTAATAGGTCTCCTATCTGGTGTACCACCACCACGGATATGGGCAGTTCTGGTTGGAGCTGTGACATGCCCTGATGAAGTCAAGGAGAGGGGCTTGCCATCCTTCGTAGCAAAAGCTGCTGGGTGTTCCTGATGGGCATTACCATGGGCGTCAAGAACAGCTGGGACCTCAAATGTCTCTTTTTATGGACTAGAATAGGAAAGGCTGAATTAAAATGGGGACGGACTGTTTTCTTTTTCCTCACTGAGCCAATAACTGGAAATATGTAACAGAGGGAAGCAGGATTGTATCTCTTAGAGGATTTTGTTACAGACATGAATAGGCCAGTTCCTCCCATGATCTAAATCAGCAGAGCCACATTGGCTAATGGAAGCTGAGGGCTTGCCCATGTATGATGAATAAGGTATATTTGTCTATAGTAGCCATCTAGAAATGAGTTGCCCTCCCTTCCTGCTCCCATTGTGTGTCTTTGTTTCAGGGTAAATTAAACTTGACCTTCCCTCCCTTACCATCTCTCACGTGCTGAATTTGCACTGTGTGCAGTCTAAAATTGTTATTTGAGGTTTGTGGGGGGACACAATTTACATGTTATCCCTTTGGTCCCACCATTGGTGAAATTCTGCTGACTTTCACTTCCTGCTGCCATTGTACTCAAGGCTGGACCTCATTGTACAGCTTTGAAGAAGTGATCACTGATCAGTCACACACCTGCACCTTCTATATGGACTTTGTGCCCTGCCAGAATGACACGGCTCTATCTGTGCAGCTATACTGTCAGACTAGGGGGGTGTCCTCCTAGAGGTATAGCTATATGTCTCAAATAATAAGTACAAGCGTGAACTGTGCATGTGTGACTGTGGAGGAGAAACTCTTCCTTACTACCTTCCCTCTTTTGACACTCAACCTTTTTCTTTAAAAGTAGCATAAAAATGGTGGAGATGAATTGCAATTATGGAGTCTTGAGGGAATGGATGCCACCCCCACCCCCAAGTCCTTGTTTTTATATTACAGGTGCTGGTAGGGGATTGCGAAGTGAATCTTGGGGTCCCTTAGGCTACACCTTTTCTCAGAAGCAGTGCCAGTGAGAGAAATCCTAGGGGTGCACATGTATCCCAGGCCAAGTTTCTCAGGCAGTTAGTTCTTTCTAGCCAGTTTGTCAGATGGTGTTTATTATGCAGCGATAATGCACTATTACAATTTAAAATGTATCACCCTGTCAGGTGCACACTTGGAAGTTTGTGAGTATGTGTAAACTGTGTCATCTTCAGAAGACTAACAAAAAATCACTGTTTGACTTCATTCTTGTAAGTTTTGCTGGGGCCTATAGTTGAGTGCCCCTCACTCTTATTCCTGAACTTTTTCTCCTTTCTTTCCCTGCCCTCCACTGCCAATATCAGTCTTCCTGCCATAAGTCAGTCACCAGCATGCACTGGAGCCATCAAAACAAAAGAAGAGACAGAAATAATATAGAGCTAGTGTCTGTATTTGGCTTCAGAGTGCGTGCCAGATGCATATCTTCATATGGATTTTTTTTTTTATATAAATGCTTTTCTACTTTTGGCAACTTAACCAATTAATGCTCTATAGCCATTTTTATGCCGCAAAGCTGAATTTCTGTATGAAATGGAGATGAAGGCTGTCTTTTTCTTTTCCCTCAGCCTTTTAGTTAAGATTTTGTTCCATTTCCATTTCATCATTTCATCTGTTTAATTCTGTAAACTATTAATGGTGTGTGTTTTTTTTTTTTTTCTCACTCTGAGCTAACTACCATCCTGGTTCTACAGAGCCAGGCACTCATGTTAGAGGCAGCCACCACTGTTGGAAATAATTGCTCCATTGAAGCAGTCGCAGCAGAGACCAAAGATATAATTGGTCACAAAGGATGAATGGTGGCTCCTTTGAAGCAGGAGTAAGGAACAAAGCAATGGAGGTCATGTTAAATATGCAGGAAGCTTATGTAAATGTTACCCCTACTATGGCCAAAGAGAGAACTGTTAGTCAGGGTAGTCAAGCTAGTACTTATCAGTATTAAAACTCACTACAAATCTTGGTGGTTGAGAAGGGAGTGACAGCCAAGACGGTCTCGATGGCTTCCCTCTTTACAATCTCCTTTATATGAAACTTTCACGTAGAGCAAGGATGCCCAAAGTAGAAAGTGAAAAATGCAGCCCATGGCTGCCAGGAGGAGGGGCAGCCCATGAAGACATGATTGTAATAGGCTCAGAGCCCGAGTCAGTTGTTCTGCTGCCCCGACTCTGGCCATGGCTTAGTATGCATTACTATTGCTTAGGTTGCACAAACCTCATATGAGATTGTCGTCTTGTTCCTGGGTATTGCAAAGTGAGGACCAACTGCTTCAGCTGCAGGCTTTCACTGCTGTTGAGGTCAACCATTACTCTTTCAAGTCAAATGAGTTCTTTTTAAAATGAAAAGCAGTTATTTAAATGAGGCTGCCCTTCTCTTTCTCCTGGCAAACTGGTGCTGTAGATCTGTCACAAAGTTTGGATGCCCTTGGTACAAAGATAGGAGATGAGACGGCCCCCATCAATCCCAGGCTTCAAGGATGTGGGTTGGAAGGGCAAAGGTCTACCGCATGGTTGATGACAAGAGTGTGTGGAAATTCTGAAATAAATAACTTTCCCCAGTATTCTGATTGCCTTTGGTATCTGTGGTGTGATGTGTCTTAGATTTGTCATGTCTCATTTCTCTTTACTTTGTATGCCAAGGTGTGGGAGGATTTGCCTTGGCACCCATTGTAGTTATATAACCTTGCATTTCTTTAGCACCTGCCATCTTGAAGGTTCTTAACTGCTCTATGTAAGACTCATGTGCACCTTACTGATTTGCAGTTCCTGGACCCTTCTACCTTGGAACGATTCACCAGCTGAATTGGCCAGGATTGCTGTGAGTAATTATCATCCCTGGCTGCCTGCATCTGTCAAGAGATGAAGGTGCCTCCTTAAGGAGTGGGTCTCCCTTGGTTTCTCATAAATGGAAAGAAACCACACCTGTTGGCAGGCACCTAATGTTTAGTAAACTTCAAAGACTTTCCCACCTCTCAATCTAAACTTTCCAGTTCAAACTCCTAGCCTTCTTCATTGGCTCATTATTTGTATCTGGCAGTTCTCTCTCCCCTGTCAAGTCCAGCTGCTTTTTTAGCAGTGTCAACCTTGGCACAGCTGAGGAAGCCACCTTGTCACTGGTCCATGTGGTAATAGATTCAGGTGGCAGGTAACAAAGCCTGGACTCATGTCCATGACTGGGGAGCTTCTTATATGAAGAAACACTGTCTTTTATGACAAAGATAGTATACCAATCTGCCAGATTGAGGCAGTGCACCCTCTGCCCTTTGAGCTTCATGCACGTTTCATTAGAGGCATCTGTGATTGAGTTCTTGTTTGGGGGAAAATCAGTAGGTTTTTGTTAACAATGCTCAAAGAAAGATTCAAAATCTTTCCTGGTTCTAACTTCCGTTTTTAGTAGTCTTGTTTCAGTGCAAGGGCAAGCACAGGCAAGATCAAGCCTCCCAGGAAAATAATTTATACAAGCTGCCCAAAGAGAAGTCTCTTTCCAGTGTTACTCTCAGATACCAGGTCTGCCTACCTTAATTGACAAAAAAAAAAGTTGCAAGTGATCATTTCTTAAAAACCTGGCAACTTGTAGTAACTCTGCAGCACAACACTTTGCATCCATGCACAACAGCTTTTCAGACTAGGTTCTTTAGGTAAATGTGACATCTTTTATTAGACCAACTAAATAGTTGGAAAAAAATGTGCTTTGTGAGTTTTTTTTTTTAGGGTACAAACACCCTTCTTCAGGCACAGGGAGAGTTTGTTGTTTTGTTGTGTTCTCTCCTGGATAGAAGGGAAGCCCCTGAAAGCTTGTAAAGAGAAATTTTTCCGACTATTTAGTTGGTCTAATAAAATATATCACATTTACCTAAAGAATCTTGTCTGCCTATGTCCTCATAGCCAATATGGCTACAACCAACAACCCCAACAGTTTTTTCAGCACTTGTGATGGTTGTTTGCAGTCTACAAGAATAGGTTTTTAGCTCATGTCTGGCTGAGCTGATGAAGTTTTCAGTGGCTTTTTCCCTGGCACGAACAGATAGCCATTACAATTGCACTGATTTAACTGGTCTTCCTAGCTCATTGTACTGTAAACTTAATGATTAATGCTGGACAATTACCCTTTATGCTTCCTTCTATGTGCCTGCACATTAGAGGATATATGCTTCTGGAATCCCAGGATACATTAATTCACCAGCTGTAGGATGATCTGCATGTCCTCAACTGTTGCAAGGATAAATGATAAAACCAGTTCAATTCAATTCAGTTCAGTTTATTAAGGATTCAGGCTAAATGCCATGCTCCCAAAAATGACAGAACACACATACAACATAATAAAATCAAATCTAATGTTAAAATTAAAATAGATTTAATATTGTTTTTTAGTATAATATTTGTAGCTCAGTTACTTTGAACAAAAAATAGAGCCCACTAACAGAAAAACATTATTAATATAAATACGGTAGTAAATCAAGACATGAATCTATAATATTGTTGTACGTAGATCCACAATTGAGACAATACATTTTAACATTAGATTTGATTTTATCACTCATATCAGTAATAAAGGATATTTAACTCTAATTGCCTCAGCCTTATAAGCAAAAATTGCAAGATGGTTTACTAAATTTAGATCTGTTTGCTGTAAAAGCCAGATTAATTTCTCTGTCTTTGAAAAATGTATCAACTTCTGCGAGAATGGTAATAAATAGGTCCTCCTTATCTCATTATAAAAAGAATATTTTAAAACGTAGTGGATAGTATCTTCCAAAACTCCTAGACAGACTGGGCAACATCTTTTAGCCCTTGGAATGCAAAATCTATGTCCAGCC